CAAAACGGCGTAACCTAGAAGGATATCAAACTCTTTTCTTCCATCTCCAATATCTCTAAATATCAATAAAGCTTTCTCCAAGCATACTTCCGGAGCTTCAAAATCACCAACAGTTCTAAACACAATTCCAAGGTTTCCGTAGTCAGTTGCCTCCCTTCTCTGTAGCCAATTTCAGTTCTGATGACAAGCACTTTTGGTGATACTCTTCAGCCTTGTTGTATTGGCCAAGCGACCCAAACACAGTACCTAGGTTCCCATAACATGATGCTTCCCCTCCTCTGTCGCCAATTTCAGTTCTGATGACAAGCGCTTTTTGAAGATACTCTTCAGCCTTGTCGTATTGGCCACGCGACCCAAACACAGTGCCTAGGTTTCCATGACATGATGCTTCCTTTGGTCTGTCGCCAATTTCAGTTGTGATGACAAGCGCTTTTTGGAGATATTCTTCAGCCTTGTCGTATTGGCCAAGCAACTTAAACACAGTACCTAGGTTTCCGTAGTTAGTTGCCTCCCCTTCTCTGTCGCCAATTTCAGATCTGATGACAAGCGCTTTTTGGAGATATTCTTCAGCCTTGTCGTATTGGCCAAGCGACTTAAACACAGTACCCTGGTTTCCATAACATGATGCCTCCCCTCCTCTGTCGCCAATTTCAGTTGTGATGACAAGCGCTTTTTGGTGATACTCTTCAGCCTTGTCGTATTGGCCAAGCGACTTAAACACATTACCTAGGTTTCCATAACATGATGCTTCCTCTCCTCTGTCGCCAATTTCGGTTCTGATGACAAGCGCTTTTTGGACATACTCCTCAGCCGGAGCCTATCAGAATGGAAAAATACATAATTAGTTTGAGAAGCACGTGTAGTAATGCTCCGCTACCAAATATGACTTGATTTCTAATCCAGGTCTCCACAATGCTCTGGAAACTTTTAACAAGTACGAGTAGTTTTAATTCCATTTAAATACTGTACATAAAGGTAATGTGATCTGCGATTTTTTTCTCTCGATGGTTAGTTTGTCATAAAGTTCCAATGGGGAGCCTACGGACTTGGAACTTTTAAATGTTTTGATTGCTAAGACACAAGCTCTCACATGTTTGGTGCTAGTTAACAGTTTCTCTGGATTTCTGTTCTCGTGAACAGATTTATATCGCTACAAAGAAGTATCCAAATTTTGCATTGCATTCATCGTTTACTTTACATATCAATTTGCGCTCCCGATGTATGACCTTGTGTCATCAACGTGCAGCCCTCCCCAGGGCGTGAAATCGCGCCTAATACAGGCGCCAATGCGGCTAAATTTGTCACTTTGGCGACCAAATTGAAAATTAGTCGCCAAATTGGCGACTAGAATGTTTCATCATAACCTTACCAAGAGATATAGTGAATTAAAAAGATATGCCAAAATAAAGATAAATCCGCGGCAAACTTCCTCGTTAATTTTGTTTCCAAAACGCAGCACATGCATCTCGATCGATAACTAGACGCCATCTTGGATTTAGGTGAGCTTGAACGCTGTATATCATCCATCCTAGTGTCCACTTTGTAGCACGTTAGAGATCTTTTCCCTAACTTAATCTTGGAGGGTCCATCTACAAAGCTGACAGCGTAACAAAAGGTTTTGTTAGTCTTTGAAAATGGCGACCAACTTTTTTTGAATGGGCGACCACTCTGAACAATTTAGGAGCCAAGTGGCTATCAGAAAAAAAAAATTAATTTTACGCCCTGCAGTTAGGACGGAAACGCCCAACAAGATGTCGATTAAAAATGAATTTATGTTTGTAGTTAGAATTTTGCAAAAGGCTGGATGTGTTTACCGTCCCTTACAGCATTGAGTTTCAAATGAAAACTGAAATCATTTGCCACATCGGTTCTGTTCTCAGACCATGCAAACTTTGGTTATTTCACGTTGTGGTCGTACAAACGACGGCTTAGAAATGTACAAAGTTCTAAAATGTACGCGCTAAGCTATTGTTTTGCCCATTTAATCTTTTGTGTTGCCACGTCTTCGTAGCCCTCTTAGTTTGCTTGAGGTTCATAAATACACTGTAAGTTTATTAATTAACTTAACGCATCAAATTACAGTTGAACCATAAAACTTTTGGGAATTTGTATTGTTATTCAGGTTTGATTTTTCTAAATTGAAGAGGTAGCCATGTGTTGAATCAAAACTCTGTAAAATCTACAAACGAACGAAAAATGTTTTTCTAAAAGATTTATCACTACTCGGAGGGAAAAATTTTGAATTTTTTGTGATTCAAGTCGTTGAAAATATTGTAAAATAAGAACAACAATTCGTATGGAACTGTAGCAGTGAAGCTGATGACATTATATACTGGAGAATTTCGCATTTTATCGTATCGCGATACAGTTTAGATATTGAAGATTACAAACTATTTATAATCTCTTAGTAAATGAATATTGCAAATATATTCAACTATTTGTCCATAGACGTCTTGCCCAAACGCCATCTTTTCCAGGACGAGAAGAGATTTAACCTTTTACCCAAAAATGATCGCCAAGAAATTGCACCGATAGCTCACGGGTACCTTTGTCAGTTGTCTTGATCGCCAAAATTTTCCAGAACTCCGAGAAATCTGGGCTCTGACGAATCACACCTTTTACAACCTGCGGTACTTCTTGCCAGGATCTACTGCATTCAAAGCACCTGTCTCTTGCGTAAGCAAATAACTCAAAAGATTCTATCCCAAATGCAAGATTTTCCTCACTCCAGTCTCTCCGTCCTGTCAGCTTTCTCAGAAACATGAGATTTGAACCAAAAATCTTAATCGCTCCAGCTGTTTGAAATGCCGGGTCAAACTTTTCCCCAGAGTCCGCAATGAAGCCTAGGAAAACAAGTAAATCTGACAAGCATCATAACTCCACCGGGAGGGGTTGCATTTCACGAAAGGATGACTTGTATTATAGAAGCCGGAGAATATTAGATAAACGTTCAATTCTTTTTTGAAGCAAATGCAGCAATTCTACTCTAGCAAACTTAATTATGCCTCACCTGTGGTATCTGGTGAAAGGCAATTAAAATGATAAAAGAATCAAAATAGCAGCGACCCCGCCAGGATTCGAACCTGGAATCCCCTGATTCGTAGTCAGATGCCTTATCCGTTGGGCCTCGGGACCTTTCTGAATGGGAGAATGCTCTAAGCACTGAAGAAGCCGTGAATTATGCTCGTAAATGAAATCCATCCCAATCAACAAATAACTCATTCAATAACTTCTTATTCCTCTTGCTTTTGCTGTTGTAATGTATACAAGACCTGAGAAATAAAATATTTATATTTTTCGTTCTAGTCGTTTCTCTCTTTTTTTTCTACCAAATTTTCTCTCGATTCTTTGCACAAGGATGAAATAACATAATAAGAATGAAAATAGGACGTTGAAAAATAAACGGCACCGTTTTACCTCACTTCGCTATTAAGTGACATCTTAACTCACTAAATGCAAGCGCGACTACAACCTTGACAAACTTCACCCCAGCAACCCGGGGTTGTGAGATTGTATGTAAACGCGGGCCTTTTTTCTACCTCCATGTTAACAGGCCCTAGCATAGGATAAAACATGTATTTCGTTTTCGCTCGTGAATTTGTTCCTTTCTACAAATATCAGCATTCTTTTAGTTTTATGCAAAGGGTAATTTCTGAACTTCTGCTCAAACTGAATCAGTTACCCTATTTCCTCGAATTGGCGCCCGGTTGCTTATTTAACATTTCGACTTAAATTTGAGGGGAGGTTATTGGAAGGCACTCAGTCGAAGTAAAACGGCAAAGAAAATTAGCGGTTAGCCGTATAAAATTGACGAACTTTTAACCGTTAGTCGTATTAAAAGTTAATTGTAAAACATTACCGTTAAAACCGTTAGTCGTAAAAAGTCATCATCCCTAAAGTCCTTTGGAGTTATTTTGTTTTCGGTATTTTCACCTTCGTGATCGCTGGCACTCTGGACACGGAGTAAGCATTCTTTAACCAATTTATTTAATGTTCGCACATTTTCCTTTGGACGAAGGAAACCCGCTCAATGACATCAATTATTCTGCTGTGAAGGGTTCTATGTACATCGTTGTCTGCTGATATTTCACGTGTTATCCATTATCGATTTAACATTATAAAAGCGTTATAATGGCCAACTATGGTTGGTTTCAACAAAATTCTAGTGCCCAGACTTAATACTTCAAATCCGGCGTGATGCCACAAAGTGACGGCATAAACACGTTACCATGCAACTAGTCATAAACAAATCGAAACTTTGTTTCGCACTAAGAGCTCAGTTCATGCTATAGCACCGTGAAAGAGAATGCATTTTTCTAGTTTATCGAATGCTTTGAATGAAGACATCAGTTACAAAATGAACAAAAACAACTCAGGTGACAAAGAGTCTGTGAGGAAATCCTGTTCCGCGAGAATATTTGATGAAGAAGTCAATGTCACAAATCGTTCCGCTGAGAATTATCATGAGCCTTTAGAGGCCTCACATGGTTCACGGATCATGGCTAAAGAGGTGGGCGTTTCTCATCATTACACTTCTTTTTTTTTCGTTAAAAAGTACGTTTAGTTATTGTAAAGTTATAATTTGCTATCCGAAGGAGCAAGAAAAAAGGAAGTTCAAGTGATTTTAAAGGCGAACGCGCAAGACTACCTGATTCAATATATAAGCTTTGAAAATAGGTCGTAATTAGTTCCGATTTGACTTGTAAAACGGTTTCCTCCAAAATTAGCTCAATTTTAAGTCCGTCCAACATTGGAGAAGCATTCAACGCAGCTAGAACTTTTCTGCATTAAAGGCGTTCAGGTAACTGAGTTTGAACATTTTTTTTCTTCGTGGAGAGATGAAAAAGCGCGCGCAAATGAAATTTTAGATTATGACGACACTCTTTGACATTCCACCATCTTCACGCTGGATAGGAAGTTGATAATGTTTTGTATCCCAGCTTTTTTGCTCTCTTCTAATTTCGTTAATTAAAAAATCAATATGTTGGCAATTTTTTTTTCAGTCTACGAGAGAAAAGGAACAACTAACACAGAAGATCATCCACCTTGAAACACAGATTAACGGTTAGTTTTATGTGGTCACGCATGCATGAAAAGAAAAGTGCGCGCGGACTAGGGAGCCATTTTTCTAAGAGTTTCCGATGCTCCACCGATAATAAGTCGTTTACCCCCTCCCCCCTCCCTACTGCTTCTCGTTCCGTCATAAATAGTTCCGTTTTTTGTGTCTTCCCGGTTTACCTTATTACTAAAACCTTGAATTTATTCAATCTAATATTCTAAGTACTTAAAATATTCATTTGTTTTTTAACAGCTAAAGAGAAGGAGATCGCCTTTCTTAAACAAACTCTCTTTGGGACAGACAAAGACATTGCTGATCTCAAAGGAAAACTGTCCCAGCTAAAACAAAATGGGCAAATAACTCAATCTGATTTTGTTAAGCAAATGGCATCAATAGACGAAAAGCTGCAAGAGGCGAGGTACAACATTGCCGAGCTCGAGGGGGGCCTTAATTTTACTGTCCAGAAGAATAAAACAGAAGCAGAAGAGTCCTGGAGCAAACCACAAATATTTAATGGTGAGTATGTAAATTGGGGTGGCGTTGCATCAACTGAGTGGTGATACGACTGCCTTGTTTTTGGAGAGGAAAGAGGTGTTTGCATCATCTTTCACTAAAAATAAATATTTTGATTTCATTAACAGTTCTTCCATGCACTTTTATTTTTATTTCTGCTTCTTCTTTTTTTTTTTCTAAACTAGGCATAGCTTACTTTGACCTTCAACCATCATGGTTTGACACTGCATCCAACAACGGTGGATGTTTCAAAGTTAAAAACTTTCCAGTTAGCGCAAAAGATCTTGAAACCATAAGGAATGTTAAATCCACTTCAAGGGCCTTCACTGAGCGAGCTAAAGGTATGAAGAAGGAAACTTGTAAGTTACCATTCCTCTACAGTCCACACCTGCGCGAAAGCAGTGTAGTCTTACGAGTCACAAAACAGTTAGATACTCAGAATTGATAGCATGTTCTTCCATCTATCGGCTTTGATTTTTTAATCATCTTTCATCTAGGCAAAGATTATTTTAACCTTCAACCGTCATGGTTTGACACTTTATCAAAAGACGTTGGATGTCTTCAGGTTGAAAACGTTCCACTTAAAGCAAAAGATCTTGAAGCCATGAAGAAAGGTATGTAGATGGAAACTTTAAAATACGATTCTACATAGGTGATAGTCCACATCTGTGCGAAGTAGTGTCTTCTGAGCGTGAAGAACCTATTAGGCCAATAAGAATTGTCAATGTACCCTTCAGCTTTAGTACTTTTGCAATGTACTCGCCTGACTCAAATTCAGTGAGCAACTTCATGAAGTGTTACATCATACAAAAAATAACACAGATTCCTCTGGTATTATGCTGAACTTATTTTCCAAGAAAGCTAAAGGCGTAAAACGAACGCATATCCCTGCTTCCAACTTTGTTCAAGCCCAAACTGTGATGATTTCTGCTGCATTCAAGACTCGTGACTTACCCACTCAGATCAATCATTTTTCAGAGGAGGTAGCTTTAATTGAAGAGTTACCTTGTTCTTTTATCGAGTGCTCAAGGTCACGGTTTTTGCGGCGGTTTAGAAAAATTGTTCCGCTGAAATTAATTCAGTTTTGGTTCGGTAAGCTAAAATCTTAGGTATCTCTATGTGGAAACGAAATTCTCTACATTGCAATCATAAAACAAAACTTAATTTATCTTTTATCTAGGCAAAGATTATTTTGACCTTCAACCGTCATGGTTTGACACTCTATCCCAAAACGCTGGATGTCTTGAAGTTGAAAACGTTCCAGTTAAAGGAAAAGATCTTGAAGCCATGAAGAATGCTAAATCAAATTCAAAGGCCCCCACAGCTGAGCCAGCTAAAGGTATGAAGAACTGTCAATGTACCCCTCAGCTTTGGCACTTTCGCAAAGTCCTCGCCCAATCTTTTTTTAACTGTCTGGGGAGTCCATATTCTTACCATCACCCTTTAGATCCTGTTCTGGCAAGCACTGTTTCCAGTGGGAAAAAAATAGTAAACTGTAAAATGCCTGTTATAAGCTCCCTGAGTTCAAACATTGTCGTAAGACCTCGTAAGGTGTTAGCCAGTAAGACAATATACGGAAGTAAGTGTAGTGCTGTTCAGTAAATCAAATGCGAAAATAAACTTGTCAGTAATTTAGCATTGTGTTAACTGTAGTACTACCTTTTCTTTCGTTTGACTTAAAATCGTGACATTGACTCGGATCCTCTTTCTTATTCAACAGATCATTGTCAATGCGGGCGACACAGTCTTTTATCTTTTTAATTGTTTCATAACTTCAAAGCCGGGCGTTGTTTATTACTTTTTGTTCGTTATATTTCATCGTCATTTGAAAACTTTTGTAAGAAAATAAATCAAACAACTATGTGTAAAGGTATAAAGATTTCAATTTTCAGAACATCATTTCTTAAAGCTTTTGTAAATATGCATGCAGCATTGTCATATTTGATAATTATTTGGTGAGTGCTGACCAAATTTGTCAGAGTTGTTTGTCTCGTTTTTATTCAAATAAACATGAGATGCAAATGAAGTATACACTTTCGAAGATAATATCAGTTTAAAAAGTATGCCGGGATATGTTTGCATTATGATAGGTACCGGCAAACTGTTGGGCAAACTTCTTGCTGATGGAAATAATCTCAGCTATACAAATCTTTTCTGCTCACAAATGTGATTGAAGCGACTGAAAACAAAAAGAACACAAAGTACGCTGAATATCAACACTTTTTCCTCCAACCAGACACTGAAATGAGAGCATAACTTAGCATGACTATCGCTAGCTAGAGCCTTACCTTGCATGAAGTGGTTTGGTCCTCTGAGTTCGGCAATTTTTACTCCAATAACAATCGGCACGTCTATGCACTGTCGCTGTGATATGAAAGGACATGCGCACAAAGGGTTACCTTTGGGTTTAACATAATGTCCTCGTCTGTAATCAAATCGATATAAAATTCCAGAACGTAATTGGTTTTCAGCACCAACTGGATAGCTAGCGTATCATGATTGTACTTCGACGATGTATCAAAGCAATAGTATTTACCTTTAAATTTGGGTGTCGAAAGTAATCCGACATCGCTTTGTGATTGGTCCTGAGAACTGCCACCATTCTCTCAACCAATCAGACGCAAAACTAAAACCAATCACGAAATGGTCGTCCGCGGTTTCCCCGCCCTTCAGGCCGTTTGATTGCTTTTATTTTAAGTTTTCATTGGCTCTTAAAGGTTTTCTCCTTTCGTCTTATTGGCCGCCTGGATAACTTTGGTTTTGGTTTCACGACTTTCCATTGCAAAGCGCTCTAAATAGCATGCTATGTGACAGTGACTATGTTTTCACTTATGAATACGTTTAACCAATGGGTATCTTGTCTCTGTAATTTTGTTAAGTTGGTGACCGAACTTTGAGTCTACCAATCCTGCCTGCATGTAATCATTAAAGTGATGAAAAAAATCAGAATCTTGAAATACTTGCCAGGTAGCTGATCCCTTGGCATATCACGACGAAACTAATACGCTAGCTTCTTGCAATTCAGCAATGCACATTAGTAACAAAGCACACTTTCCGAGCTGATATCATGGCTTGCTGCATCTACAGGAGAAAATAACCAGGAATGCTTTAGTTTTCACTTGTGTTGAGGTTTAATTTAAGTTGACTTCTTATTACTTGGGAAAACAAGCAAATGTGACAAGCATCATAACTCAACTGGGAGTGGTTGCATTTTACTAAAGGATGACCTATATCAGAGAAGCCGGAGAATATTCGATAAACATTCAATACTTTTTGATAGCAAATGCAGTAATGCTACGGTAGCAAACATAACTACGCCCCATATGTGGTATCTGGCCTCATAACTTGGTGAAAGGTGACTTAAAAAAAAATAAAATAAATCTATTGGATACAAAGTTTGTTTACTCAAAATAACAGCGACCCCGCCAGGATTTGAACCTGTAATCTCCAGATTCGTAGTCAGATGCCTTATCCGTTGGGCCAGGGGGCCTTTCTTAGACGTGGTCAAAGCGTGGAAAAGGCGTGAATTACACTCAAAAATGAAATCTATTCCGATCAAGAAACAACTCATTCATTAAACTCTTATTCTTCATGCTTCCGCTGTTGAAGTTGTTTGTATACAGGGCCTGAGAAATAAAATATTTATACTTGTCGTCCTGGTTGTTTCTCTTTCTTTTCTACCAGATTTTCTCTTTAGTTTAATATTGCGAAATTCTAAGATAAACCCCGGATGTCTTTCCCGATGGAATATGTGAGAATATATGTCTCCTTCATTTTCCTTTCATCATCCTCCATGATCACAGTGGTAGTATCCTAAACCAATTTCCATGGTAGATGTGGGAACATTTCCGTTGGGGTTGTATTTCACCAAAGGATGACGTATATCGTATATTAGAGAGGCCGGAGCCTATCAGAATGGGAAAATATATAATTTGTTTGAAAAGCACGTGTAATAATGCTCCGCTACCAAATATGACTTGACTTCTAATCTAGGTCTCCACAATGCTCTGGAAACTTTTAACAAGTATGAGTGGTTTTAATTACATTTAAATACTGTACATAAAGGTTATGTGATGTGCGATTTTTTTCTCTCAATGGTTAGTTTGTCATAAAGTTCAAATGGGGAGCTTACGGACTTGGAACTTTTAAACATTTTGATTGCAAAGACACAAGCTCTGACATGTTTGGTGCTAGAAAACAATTTCTCTGTACTTCTGTTCTCGTCAACAAATTTATATCACTACAAAGAAGTCTCTGTATTTTGCATTGCATTCATCGTCTACTTACACATCAATTTGCGCTCCCGATGTATGACCTTGTGTCATCAACGTGCAGCCCCCACCCTCACCCCCTAAGGGCGTGAAATTGTGCCTAATACAGGCGCCAATGCGACTAAATTTTTCACTTTAGCAACCAAATCCTGAAGATTAGTCGCCAAATTGGCGCCGCCGGATTAGATTGTTTCATCATAACCCTGCCAAGAGATATATCGAATTAAAAAGATTTGCAAAGATACAGATAAATCCGCGGCAAACTTCCTCGTTAATTTTGTTTCCAGTGGCAGCACATGCACCTCGATCGATAACTAGACACCATCTTGAATTTAGATGAGCTTGAACGTTGTATGTCATCCATCCTAGTTTCCACTTTGTAGCACGTTAAAGATCCTTTCCCTAACTTAGGGCCTGTATACATGGAGGTGGGGGATCCCAGGTAGGTGAGGTAACCCGCCTGTCCATACAATTTCTTATTTTATTTTGATCACGTTTACATGAAGGTGGGGTGACCCGCCTAGGGCGGGTTGCCCGGTTTGCCAGGTAGGGTAACCCTGTCAGCCGGGGTGACAATTTGCCATGTAAACGTGTCAAGGTGGGGTAACCCGCCTAGCCGGGGTCGCACTCATGGTAAAAGCTCAAAAGCGAAACATGTATGTTTTAAAACTTTGTACATTTCCTAGCTGTCTCATGACAGAAATCACCAGAAACCGCAATGGACACACAAGGAGTGTAAAATGTTCACATTTCGCAATATTTAGCGTTGTAAATCGACCATAATTGGTTTCCCAAACTATTCTGTATAACGTATTAAGTCAAGGGTTTCTCAAAAACCAAACACCGCGTAACACAACTCGTGACGCTTTCATAAATAAATACATGTATCCGAGAATTAATCTTTCGTCTTTTTTCGAGATGAGCTTGGGACGCCTCTACTCAAACTCCTTAATTGCAAGCGCAACAACAACCTCAAGAAACCTCACCCCAGCACCCCGGGGTTGTAAGATTGCATGTAAACGCGTTTTATTTTTCGACCACGGCTAGGCGGGTTACCTCACCTACCTGGGTTCCCCTACCTCCATGTGAACAGGCCCTTAATTTTGGAGGGTTTATCTAAAAAGCTGACAGCGTAACAAAAGGTTTTGTTTGTCTTTGAAAAAGGCGACCAACTTTTTTTGAATTGGCTACCACTTTGAAGAATTTAGGAGCCAAGTGGCTATCTGAAAAATATTAATTTCACGCCCTGCAGTTAGGACGGAAACGCCGAAGAAGGTGTCGATTAAAAAACGAATTTATGTTGTAGTTAGAATTTTGCAAAAGACTGGTTGTGTTTACCGTCCCTTACCGCATTGAATTCCAAATGGAAACTGAAATCATTTGCCGGTTACCGGTCACCTCGCCACCAAGCAGACTCGCCACCAAGGAACGATCTCGCCACCAACGTACTCGCCACCAAGCGAAGTCTTCTCGCCACCAACCACCAATAAAGAGATAAACTAGAATAAAGTAGTCGAGGAGAGTAGGATGTTCGAACGAGCACAATTCAAATCGGCCGATACGTTTGTGCGCTTGTCTGTATTTAAATTATGACCTTCAGCGACGTGTTAGATGTATTCCGTTCCTAACTCATTGACATCGAAACGTATCGTGTTTGTCTTTTGCACGTAAGCGAGGAGAAATTGCAAAACTCGATGCGAGGAATAAAAACTTACTTGAGAGAAAATGAAACTTCATGGGAAGAAATAAGTGATGAAATGAAACTCGATAGCAGTTGTATTAAAACTAAATGCGAGAAATTGTCAAGTCGGTGCGAGAAATTGTAAGCGTCGATGGACTGAAGCTTTCCTAAGGCAACTACAGTTGTTTCCCAAGGAGAGTTAACAGTTCGAACCCATCGATTCCTGACTTTGTTTGCTTATTTGTATGAAAATTTCGACGTCTGTGATGTTATAAGTTCGAACGAATCGACTCGAGAGTTTGTTTACTAAT